ACTCCTAAGTAGACTAAGCATCTGTGTTGGACACGCATTGGATTCCAGCACTCCATGGATTCTTGCTCGACACTTCAACTGTTCAACATAACATTTTTCTTTATCTACTTGCTTGTTTGACATAAATTAATAGATAATATACATAATGAGTGCTATAAATGGCTTTCTAGGCACATGTCTATTCAAGTCCAATGGGTCAGAAGATCTCTCAACTGTTTGGTGGATGGTCTTGCTAAGCAAGGAGTACAAAGACAGTCTATGTTTTGGGTCAGAACTTCTTGTTGTACTTTATTTTTTTTAATGAATTCATTTCTTGAGTTGCTGATAAAAAAATATACATAATGAATGCCATTTTTTCTATAAATCATTATCAACAAAGATAAAGTTCCATACAAACACATGTGAATGTATGTATGTAATGAATTCTTGCTGAGGCAGACCCCTGGGCAAGCAACGGATTCTGATTTCCATTTGTGTCCATGCAACACTTACCTACTCCCATCCACCACAGTAAACTTCAAATAGCTTGAAAGATCTATTTGACACTTCATCCCCTTCCACAAACACAACCCATAGGATGAAGATACCTGCCTAGTGCCTAACCACCCCATAATTACACAATACCACTCTTCTCTAAATGCATCAATCTCTTTATCAAACCTCGATAACCACTTCCCTTGAAAGTACCTTGTTCAACTCTTTAATGTGCCTTGTTCTCAACCCAGCACCTTAACTAGGGTCCTAAAAACTGGAGTAAATCTAAAACAACTCAGCTCTCTATTCCTCAAATTAGTGCCTTACAGCAGCCCAAGTTTACTACCAACTATAAATCTATTGCCGCCAAATTCCTCCTATCCACAGGTATGAACCTTGCAGTCCCTCTTCATAAACCAGCCTTACAACACCTTGCTATTTAGCTGAATAATCACTTAATTTTGTAGGATATAGCATCTATCCTAGTGCCTCAATCAGACTCAACATAAACAATTTATATAGGAAGGGCATCTAGAGTCTATTAAAGCTCATTGAAGAAGTTCTAAGTCTTGGATATGGATACAGTTCCAGTTCGTTTATTCATTTTCCTTTTTTTATTTGAAATGGTCAAATAATTGTATTATATCTGTCAATAAGAAAGAGTGTATCCCTATACAATAAGCTCCTATACAGTAGAGCAATCAAAAAGCACCGAAGAACAGAGACAGTTAGTGATATTACCTACTATTCATATACAATGACCCAGAGAGAGAAAAAATTTGAGATGAAACTTGGAAGGATTTCTCTGAACTCCTTGTGAATGGACAGCCACAAAGAAACCATCACAAATAGCCTCCGAATCATGGCTTATCTCTAGAGGATGCTCAGTAATCGAAGACTATAGAGTTACTTTTAATCAAAGAATTTCATTTTCCCTTACCTCTTATGCCTTGTTTCTATTTAATATACCATCACACAACCATGCTAAATCTTAAAAGTTTAAAGCAACTAGTGTGCATATAACAAAACAAAGGCATGTATTATTTTAAATAACTGGAGATAAAGACAAGTAAATAAAACATTGACATAACTTGGCAGTTAATTAAATCAACCAGGCTGCTGACTAGTCATGAGTTGACCTAGGTGATACTTTGTCGTCCTTGGTGACTGCGTCATGGGTATCAGTCAACTATTAGCAATATGGTTGGTAATCAGTCATGGCCTTGAACTGATTAGTCAATGACCCGATGATCAGGTTGATACATGGTATACCTGATGATCAGGCTGACCTACTATCAACCATACATATCCTTTCACTTTATCCTAAAGTGCATTTGCAAATACAGTTAAGCATGGTATCAGTATCTAGAAATCAGATTCACCAAATATTGTACCCATTCTTTTTTATCAGCAACGCATAAATGATGTCATTGATTAGAAAAATCACGGTTACAACAAGAGGTTGTGAAAAAAGAGCACAGCTTTAGAAAGCTGACCCAAACCAAATTTACAATTGAGCCCAAAACAGATGAGTTCTTTGTACCCCTTGCTTAGCTAAACCACATGCCATGTTGTTGGCAGTTTTCCTCACCCATCTAACTCGGATTAACATGTCCTTTGATAGCCATGTAAATCGCCTGAATTCATTCCTCAAATGTCATGTCACTCCCTCCCCCTTCTGCAGCCAGTTCACCACAGTTTTCGAGTCTCCCTCAATGATCAGTCAATTAATACCCAACTCTTTTGCCATTTCAATCCCATATACTGCAGGCAAAAGCTCTGATCTTGCCACATCACCTTGTTCCACAGGTCCAGAGTATAAAGCAATGATATTTCCTTCTTCATCCCTAATGCCCCCCTATGCCTGCGGGGCCCGGATTACCCAGACAACTCCCATCAAAGTTCAGGTTTTTCCAGCCACCTATTGGGAGCGACCATCTCTCAGAAAATTTCTGTCTTGTTGATGAAGAGGCAGCAATAACACCCCAAGCCCTGAAAAAATCTTCAACTTTAAAATCTGAAAACAGCTTCATGCTTTTTCCCTTTGTTCTGTTGTTGATCCAAATTTTGATGCATTGGATAATCATCTGTTAGGTGAGGTACGTACTTAACATAAATTATTAAATACCAATAAAAAACATAAATTATTAACTCGTTTTATTACAAAGTGCTCTAATTGTAACTAGAACCTTGACTGTATGTGATGCCCAATTTCAAGCAATTTTCTGCTATGTGGATAAATCATGAATTTTCCTAGATGAGTTGGTTCTACCGAACCAACTCAGCATTTTTTTATCTTCAAAAAAACAATAAAAAAAAAGAAACTATACTTCCAAACAAAAGCCCCTTCAAGCACTATTAAAATAGGATACCTGACTGATAATATATATGTTTCAAAATCCTCCCCTTCAGATTTTTTCCACATTCCACCCAGAAATTGTAAGGAATAACCATATAAAGGTTCCCTCATTCCAAAAGGACTGGCATGTCATCCCAAGAAGAATCCTCCTTTATCTCAAGGAATTTTTCTTTTTTTTTCCCAATGTAGGCAAAGACAAGTTCACACATAGTTCCTCCAAGCCCATGTTGCCAATGTCGTAAAGTGATAACTAGTTATTTTGACCTCCCTATAAATGGAGCAACTATTTAGTCCTACTCAATGACAAGGTGACCAGACGAAAAAGGATAGAAAAGATATTTTATGAATTTAAGTCAATGATGCAATCTTACATATTTTGACCTCCCTATGCAATGCAGCAACTATTTAGGGCTACTAAATGACTGGGTAATGACATGAAAAAGGACGGAAAAGCTAATGATATGATTTAAGCCAATGATGCAATCTTAAATATATGTTAATAAAGACTGCACAACTGGAAGAAGAAAAATGAAAAAGAACATTTAGCATATGCTTCCCCATTATACAAACATAGAAGAAGGATGGATTAGCTGAGATATGGTTGGGATGAGAGAGAGATAGAGGAGGGAGGAAAAGAGAACAAAAGAGAAAGAATGCAGACTTTGACTGTTTAGTGTTGTTTCCTTGTTGGTGACAACTTCTCTACAACAGAAGACCACACATATTGTTGGACACCCCCTAATTCGACTAGCAGTAATCAATCTAGTCAACCTAATTGATGCTTAATAACCACATCATGGGTATTTGATGAATAACCAATGGTGCAGATCCAGTCAGTATGACCCCCAAGTGAGCAGTTGGCTTACTAATCAATTGATTAGTGGATGCTTAGATGATACTGCCCAAGCAAGACCATCCATGCCCTTCCTATTGAATATGCATGTAATGCATTTATTAGGAATAAACTGACCTCTATGAATTAGGTTGTTTGATAGGTTTTCCTAAAACCTTCCTGCTAGGGATTTTTAGGCTGCAAACAGATCAGATAAGAACCGGACATACCTAGACCCAAATTTGACCCGTTAATATACAAATAGGATTCAGGTATTAGAATAGAATATATTAGTATTAAAAGGAACTAGTAATGACTTTGATATTGTATATCATGAACAAAGTTAACTTAAAATAACTTTTCTGAGAATTGAACCTCTAACTCTTAGGTAAACATACCACATTCTTATCAACTTTACTAATAGCTACATATTAATTCTGAAGTGGATCTAATTTGGATTCAATTGTAAATGGATCTTATTGAAATCACCCTAATTGGATTGGATTTGAAATTTGAATTCAAATTTGGATAAATTGATACCATTTATGTTGTAGATAGATAGATAGATAATAGACAACCAGATAATTTACCACAAAATGAATGTATCTTCCTGAACTTGTTGGATTGACAATCTAGAGAGTGAACCAAAGAATATTGAACTACACTTTCTGGCATTCGTTCAGTTAAAAGGCATATCGTGGTTGTCTAAATTTGCCACCATTGGTAATATACACTAAATGCTCAATACTTGCTTTAATATATTTCAGAACCTACTTCTTCGTATCTTAGTAAGTTCTTTGTTTTGATTAAGTGGGTTTGAGGATGCGGCTTTTCAGTTCCCTCCTTTTCTCTCCTTTAAAATTTTCTGCAGCTATTGTCAACGAAGTCAAAAAGCAAAGTCCTCAATCGGTAGGAGAAAGAACGAAAACAGAGTTTTAATTCGAGTAGAATTAAGTTAAGATCAATATTTAAGAGTTCATTACAGCATCAAACAGTTGAAAACTTGAATCTTTTTTTTGCTAAATAGTTGAAAACATGAATTAGAAGCAAGTTTCCCACAGCCCATAGAATTGAATAAGCTAATTATGACGAATACAGGGATTCAGAAGAAGCAATTCTTAAACCAACGCGTGCAACATTGACAGAGCGAAATACACCCCCCATCGCAAACCCCAAGGTCGAACAAGCAGGACAAAGAAACGCTATACTTTCAAGTTAATTATCAAAATTCAAAAGGTGTCGTCGACCAACGTCTTCAAAAAACTAAAACAGGCAAAAACCCTAAGTAAAGGGGAAAGAGGAAAAATAGAATGAACAGACACAAGGACACCGCACCTTTTGAATCTGTTCCGTTGTGATGTTCGTCGGAGGAAATGAAGGCATCATAGGAAGCATTGACGGAGGCTGCTGCATCTCGTCCTCTCTCTATCTCCCACTCTCTCTCTCTCTCTCTCTCTCTCTCTGTCCGCCAAAGAGAAGAATAATGAAAGTACGAAGAGGATTAAACTTGTCGATATTCCCCACCAAACATGAAAAAGAAAAACTTGCCGATATTTATATTTTCTTTAAAAAAGAGAAATAATAAACCCCCGGTTCTCGAAAATGGAACAATTCAAAAAAGAAGCTGGGTCGGGGGAATTCGGATCTGCTAACCACACCCTATCCACGTGACACTAAATTAAAGCCGCACATCAAGAACATCTTTTCTTGTAATTCATAGGACTGGGGAGATATTTCCGATATGCGGCTGTAGTTTCTTGTAGCACTGTCAAGAGTCCAAAAGTCGGATACCACCCGATTCGACACCAAAACCGGGATAGACCATCCCAAACGGCTAAACCCATCACAAATTAACAACCCCCAACCCTGGTGGGCGGTGGCAGTGTCCAAGTGCGAATGTAGGCTACGTAGCAGGTATGGTCGGGTGGGAGCATCTACGGAAAAGTACGCACAGATTCAATGTAGATTTCTGATTTCCACCGTAGAGTTATAAATATTTAAAATGTCAAAACCCCCACTTTATACATCAATACCCCCATCCCAATTATATTTTGGATCTAAAAATTCTGATCCTGGGCTGAACCGTCAATCACCTGGGAATCTAAGGCCCATTGGTTTTTACATATGAGAGAAAGTTTCTTGGTTATGATATTTAAATGTATAGAATGTTGTTATGAAATTTAAATGTTGAATTCTTAAAAACTGGTATTTAACTATTTTAACTCTGAATATTTAATATAATAATTAAAAATTAACTAATGAACATAAAATGATTAAAAAATAAATTTATCAAATAGTTATAAATAATTAAATAAATAAATAAATGTATAATTATAAATTATTACTAAATAATAAATAATAAATGGATAAAAATGATTAATAGCTATTAATAATTAATAATAGTTAATAAATAATATATTCATTAATTATTAATAAAATTAATTAATTATTAAATAGTTAAGTAGTTAATAAAAATCAAATAGTTATTGCAAAATAATTTATTAATTTAATATTTAATCAATTATTTAATGATAATAATTAACTATTAATAAAATAATTAAAATTATTTAATTATACTACATTATTTATATTAAAAAATAAACTTCATTAATAAAATAATAACGTCAAATAAATAAATAATAATTATTTAAAATAAACACTAATTAATAATTAAAATAAATACATATCTAGAAAATTAAAATTAAGATAAATTATTTAAAAACAACTAAATATCTTAGCATTTAATAATAGTTAAATATTAATTAAAAGTTTACTTGAATGTTAAACCATTTTTCCCTCTAGGTTGTTGTAGGTCAGTAGTTCAACATTTAAATTGGATGGGCTAGATCATGATATATATAAGGAGATGGGATATTTTTGGAAAATAAAAAAAAGAACAAAATTCTTATACTATCGCTACTGTTGGTGAAAAGTGCTGCTGGTCTCTTTCTGTTGGCGAATGGCGATGACCTGTTGGATGGAGATCGGGAACAGGGTTTCCACGCATGGAAGCACCTCAGACGTGGGTATGCTACGTTTGAATGGCGAGCCAGAGTCATGATATCCTCCATTATTCCATATGCTTGAGTCTTGTACTGTCTCCCCAACTCTAGCTTTAATTTTGCAAGCATTGCAATGGCATATATGAAGCTGGAAATGATGATCGTTGTATATATATATATATATATATACCAAACTCATTTTCTTTGCTACTGTTTGTTAGCCCCCTTTTTACTAGTGATTCCTTTCCATTTGGTCTTGTATCCAAACCCATTCTCAACGTGTTCCCCACTTAACCACAAGCCAACCCACCGGTTTAGGTAAACCTTCACCGCATCAATCTCCCTAGACAAAGAATTGTAGGGCATCACCTCTTCGGCAATTAGTGCCAATCTGGCTGCCCTCGCAATTACCTTCCCAAAGATGACAGTAGTGGATGAAGGTTTGTCGATCTTCAGCTGCTCAATATCCTTGTGGAGGGCTGATTCAATTTTTGTTGGGAAGGTCTGGCAGGATTTCCTTTCAGTGCTACTAATGGAGTGCCAGGTCGGAGAAATTGGCTCTGCTTTCAAGATCCACAAATCTCCCACAACCCTGATCAGCTCTCCAGAGGAAGAAGATCACCGCTGTCCATTTATAGAGGGAAACCCTATTTCCGATCTCTGTTTGTTGGCAATGACTTGTTGGATGGAAAGATGGGTGAGATGAGTTGCTATGTCAATACCAAGACCGTATCTCTAGAGATGGTTGTGCCAAACCCTAGTTGGAGAGAGAGGGAATGCTCTGTTTCCGAAGAGAGAGAGAGAGAATCTATTGGGGAAGGACATTACCAAGATCATCGTCTCCGATAGGGAGAAGCTTGCCTCGATCTTCTGGTGGTGTCACTATTGTTGTGTTTCTGCCGGGGGTGTCACTAGTGCTGGAACTGCCACTGCACCGACTGCCGTTGAGTCAAAGAAGAGAAGGAACAGGGAAGTGAAGAGAAGAGGGATGGAGGGTAGTATTGGGTTTTAAAATTAATTTATATGTCACGTGTGTAAGGATTTTGACAGAACATTAGCGGACACTAGCGGTAGGGGTAGAGAACAGTAAGGGCACAGTTTGTCAAGGGTATTTTAAGAATTTTGCCCTAAATTGTATGATATCATCCCATGTATTAAGGTTGAATAAAAATTAGGAACTAAATGCCCCCCTCTTTCTCTCTTTGAAAGTGGTATGACACCGCTTTAGAGTTAAGAGTTAAGAGGAAACAAATGTCCCCTAACACAAACCTTGATCATATTGACCACTTTATTGTATAGGGATACAAATGGATTGGATTGAATGGATAAACCTGATGGTGCGCAATCCGGTCACTCCTATTTGGCACTCGCGTGGCTTCTTAAGAAGTACCTGAGATGAGGAAGAAGAATCCCCGGGGGGTTTGCCCGGCGGGAACGCTCCGACGATTAAGTCAATATTCTGAGTAAGAAACAAAGAGAAGATAAAAACTAAGAGTGAGGTAGCGCAAGAGATTTCAAGATGATGCCCCCTTTCCTTGATACTAGCTCCTTATAACAGAAATCCGTTGTATCAGGCCCACAGGCCTCTAACAAGGCGGGTATAACCGCCACTGTCAGCCTGCCGCTACCGTTACTGACAGAGCTGAGGTGGCACGTGCGGGGCCGTCGCCGTAGTGTACGTGCTTGTCAGGTGTAAGGCACCCTTTGAAGGTGGCAGACACGATGCTGTCTGACGAGGAATATGGTCATTGTTCCCAGATTTGTCGGGTACGGTGGTCGGCAAAAGGTCTTCCTGTGATGTGATGGACTACCATTCCGCGAGCTACCCTATGCCGGGTTATCCCGTAAGCGGCGTGCTGCTTGTGGCAAGCTATGTCGGGCTGGCTGACCCGAGGTGCCTATAACTCGGGGTGTCCAGAGATGGATCGGTGCGTTTCTGTCTGGGAGTGGCCCGAGGTCCATTGGGAGGAGCTCGGGCCTCAAGAGAGGTCAGGGTACCCCGAACTCGAGGTGCCTCGAAGTGCCTTAACCCCGCGGATGAGGTGCAGGTAAGGTGGCTCCCGACGAGTAGTTTATCCGCCTAGTTGCCGAGTTGAACTCTGTGGGACCTTCCCTCCGAGTTGTGGTTGCATCCGTTGCGTTGTCATGCTGAGTCACTGTTTGAGCAGGGTCACGCCCACGTGTACCCGTGCTGTGAGGTCGGGCCAAATCACCCTCCATCAATTGCCCCCCGCTCCCTGTGCTGGCGGCGATGACCCAGTGCAGGGAGGTCATGACGCGCCGGGTGGATTTGGTGTTGTTAGTTATGCCACTCCGTTGTGCGCTCCGTCCAGCTGGACCGGTCTAGTGCCCAGTTCGATCAAAAGAGACCCGAGTCACGTCCAGTTTACACGCAGATCTCACGCAATTTGGACTTCGCGAACGTCAAAAACGCGCTAAACTGTTTTCGCCTCGAGGAGCCCGCAGCTGTGGCTATAAATAGGGGGGACCCTTGGCCATTTCTTTGCCACAAAGCTTTCGTCGTTGGTGTTTGAGCTCGCGCTAGAGGCCTCTTAGCTCGGGTCTTCCAGTTCGTCCTGTTCTTCCAATCCGGTCGCGTTCCTTTGGTGAGTTCTCCCGAGCTTCCTTTTCCCTTCCAGTTTGTTTCTTCCCTTTCTGTTTGTCATGTCATCTAGCGTAGGTAGCCTAACCAATGAGCCCGAGGTGGGTACTCCGGCCCTGGGTGGCTCTTCGGCCGCTCCGCCACCCGACATATGGGTGGCTTCGGGTAATCAGGCGTCTACCTCCAATCGAGGTCGGGTGCCAGACCAGTTCGGTCCTTCCACCATGACCTCGGAGAGGCTCCAGGACCTCATACAGAGGTTCCACCTTCCTGGGGAGTACTCAAACAGTCTCTCTACCGACAACTTCCCATGGGAGCACGGTCCTGATGAGATCGTGGTCTTCAGGGAGCAGTTGGTAGCCGGACTCCGACTCCCTCTCCACCGTTTGATTACCAAGGTGCTGGTGCACTTCAACATTACTTTGGACCAACTTCACCCAAATTCCATACGGAATATAGTTGGGACCATTTCTCTTTGCTTCGACCGATCACTCCCTATCGACCTGGACATTCTTAGCACCATTTTGGCCATAAAGAATAGTGCTTCAGGCACTCTCCCCGGGCACATGCGGTCTTACTACCTATCTCCCCACCCGGGTTTCAAGCTTATGCACAGACTCCCGAGTAAAGTCCCGGCCTGGAAGCGGGACTACTTCGTAGTTCGGAGCAGCACGGGGTGGCCCTTCCCTACTAACTGAAGGGTAGCTGTTCAAGACCCCAGTGTCATCTTAGACGTGAAGACCAAGAAGGCACTCCAGATGCTAGCTCAGCTCGGGTTAAATTATAAAGACTTCACATCCGAAGAGAAGCTCATCCAGGCCGGATTGAGCTCGGGTAGTTTTTGCTTTACTTCGGCTTTTTGTATGTATGTTTACTTCGGGATTGCTAATGTCGAAATTCACTGTAGGCCCCATGGAGGCGGAGAAGATCGA